TTGAACTGCTGCTTCGCTGCCATACAACCATGAGGACCTATGAAATAAAGAATAAGAAGAGGGAGGAGAAGGGGGACTTACCTGAAAACCTTAATGCCCTAAGCAAACATTCAGGGTCAAGGCGCCTACACCTTGTGCAGACAACATTCCGTCACAAACAGCTGGCTATCGTGCAAAGATAAGGCGGCATCGGCGAGACAGCTTCCTTGCGGCTTTCACTGCAACGCGTCATAATCAGCCATTACCCCGCAGATAACTCAGCACCAAACACACTTTAAACAGACAATCCGATTAGAAGACGGACAGCAGACGCGCGCCACTGGTGTCGGTTGAGAGCCATGTCCTGTAAAGTCTCGAGCCAAGCACAAGGTGAGTCACGTGGACTCCAACCCGGAGGCGAGACGGACCAACGGCACCCAGTTTAGTTGTCAGTGACTTCATTTCTCGCTGCCAAGTCAACTTCTGTCCACCTCGAGCCTTGCGCCATCATACACTTGGTAGACTGAACAAAGCCCTCCAACGTAAGCGGTGACCAGGCATGCGTAGCACGTGCCCGTGCCAACGCAACTTCTTCAGTGCTATCTGTTGTTCTAGGGAGCTAGCATGATTATCACCACCGAGTACTCGCCTACGCACATCATCGTTGCGGACACGCTGGTGCCATCCGACACCAGCAATGCTTCGCAAACAACGATGATCAAAGACTTGAAGGCGCCTCAGATCTTCAGACCGAAGAGGCCAAGTTTCACTACCATACAATAGAACGGACCTCACTGTGGCCTTGTATACACAGCTTTTCAGACGGAGAGAAACTCCCTTCTGTCGCCAAAGATGACGCAGGTTCAAGAAGGCAGTTCTGGCCTTTGCAATGCGTGAGCTCACGTCAGTTTCAATGCGCCCATCATTGCTGATGCAGCTGCCAAGATAAGTGAATTGATCAACCACCTCGAGTTCCTCGTTAGCAAGCTTCAATGGGTCATCAAGTGGCTGGTGGTCCTGCAGCAACACTTTGCACTTTGAAGGTGCGAAGTGCATACCAAATAATGGAACCAGTCTGGATAGGCTATTCAGGGTTGACTGTGCCGCCTCAACATCGTCGAAAAGCAAGACGATATCGTCCGCATAATCTAGATTAACTAACCTTTCACCAGGCAGCACTTCAACGCCTACATCATGAGATTCCGCAAGGGAACACTCCATGATAGAATCCACGACGAAATTGAACAAAAACGGGGAAATCAGACAACCCTGACGAACGTCATTTGTAGTCGAAAAGCTATCCGATAGGGCACCATAGACCCTGACGCGGCCTGTAGTGTTCGAGTATAGAGCACGAAGAATGTTCACATATTTCGTGGGAACACCTTTTCGCGCAAGTAATTCGAACAGGATCGATCGATCGACTGAATCGAACGCACTCTTGAAATCGAGGAACACAACTATTGTCGGTCTGCGGTATGCGTGGCGCTGCTCTATCACCTGCCGCAAAGTAAATATATGGTCTATACAGCCACGTCCTGGGCGAAAACCGGCCTGCTCTTCCCTAATCCGAGATTCCCGTTCTGCACTGAGGCGACGAACGATAATCGAAGCCAGTAATTTTGTCACAACTGGCGTTAGGCTAATACCCCTGTGGTTCGCACAGTCTGTGCGACTGCCCTTTTTGTATATTGCCACTATAATCGATTCGCTCCAATCAGCTGGCACACTCTCTTCGTTCCAGATACGTTCGAATAGGGAGGTCAGTGCCCTGCAGAGGACCTCACCTCCATGCTTAAATAGTGCAGGTGGGAGGGAATCCTGGCCAGCGGCACGAAAACGATTAAGGGCTGTGACCGCGTTTCGGACCTCGGCCTCCGACAGAGGCTCTAAACTAACCGTCCATGGCACGTCCTGCATCACCTGAGTAGGAAGATGTCCGGGAACAGGGGGCCAGCTGAACTGATCTTCAAAGTGTTCCGCCAAACGAGCCATACGGCGCTCCTTATTGTGTATCAGCTCACTCGCGCTGTCTCTGATTGTCTCACTGACGCCTGGTTTTCTGGGACCAGTGGTGCGGATTAGCTGGAAGAGCTTCCGGTAATTGCCTACTGCTCCTGCCTCCTCCATTTCTTGAGCCCGACTGGTCCACCAGGCTTCCTTGTCAGCACGTAGGCTCCGCTTTAGTTCACGCCTAATAGCCCGTCTGGTCACATTGTGTTCAGAACCAGCCGGGAGGTGTCTTCCAGCTTCCAACAGGTTCACGGACCTCTCGGATATCCAGTGACTGGTGCGGTGACGACTGATAGTGCCACAAACAGATGCTCCGGCGTCGTGCATAGCGGCCGAGATTCTATTCCACTCAAGTTCAGTGTCATTGGGACAAGACAGCGAGAGTTCGCTATGCAGTGCTTCTTGATAGGCTTGCCTGACAGAGGGCTGGGACAATTTCTCCGTTGCCAATCGGGGGAGACGCTTTGTGCGCCTTCCGGTAAAGTTCATGGAGAAACGACAGCGCACCAAGGCATGATCAGAATCGACACAGGTACTCCAGTACAAGCGGCAATCCAGAATGGAACTGCGCCACCTGTAACTTATGGCTATGTGGTCAATTTGGGTCCATCGCTGGCCAGCTACAGGTGGACGCCAAGTGGCACTTCGGCGCCCACTGTGTCTAAAAGCAGTGCTAGTAAGAAACAACTGGTGCTCCGCACACAGTTGCAGCAGACGCTCGCCGTTGTCAGTCCGTTCGGCGTTAAGTCCATACTTACCACCCAGCTGAGCTTCTGAAGAGCTCAGACGCCCTACTTGTGCGTTCATATCCCCTGCAAGTACTATAATATCTGAACTAGCAGTACTGCGTAGCAGCGTGTTCAGTTCGTGATAGAAAGTGTCCTTGACTGCATTAGAACTGCAGTCGGTGGAAGCATAAGCAGAAATCACAAACAAACGGCGTTTTGTTTTACTTCGCGAATTCACCTTAGCTGATGTCGTCAAACGGGCTGCACATAAACGGCAGTTCACCGGAATCCAATCAACCAACGATGACTCAGCCTTGGATCTGAGAATGATACCTACACCAGCTTGACCCGTGAGTGCCGCATCAGCGTCTCCGGATGCGTGCAACCAATAACGAGAGGATAAGCCGGGTGCAGTCAATTCAATAACCCCGTTAGGGTCATTAATCCTAGTTTCGGACACACAACACACATCAATACCCAGTGTATCCAAGATGCGGGCGAGTGCAGCCTGCTGACCTGTTTGTCTTAGAGTGCGGACGTTGAATGTCGCCATGGAAACGGGACAGCGTGACCTTATAAGGGACTTTTGCCGATAGGCGTCCGATAGGTGCTGTGGGATGGTGGCTGCAGACGGTACTACTCCAGTAGCACTTCGGTTGCTGTCAATTAAGCTGGGAATTATGGAAGGAAGGTAAGTAATAGGGGTCGGGATGGGAGTAAGAGAAAAAGGTGGAAAAGAAATAAGGGAGGCGCCAGCAGTAGCATGTTTTCGCTTATCCGCCCTGCTGTATGCAGCAGATAAGGCGACCGTTGATAATCTGCGCGACGGCCGATGCAGGATGAAGTGTATGTTTGAAGAAAATGTCATGGTTGTATGTGGGCTGGGATACTGCCAGGGCGCCCAGACCTAGACAGGAGAACGATTAGGGTCCTCATCCAAAGCCTTTGGCTCAAAAGCCTGTCCGCAAGGCAGCGGGGTGGCAATGATTTAGTTTTACAGAAATGAACGCCATCCCATTTCAAGCCCCCAACCTGGAGGACCAGGAGACTGAGTTTGTCTGACCTCTCACCATTGACCAACCTGGTATGAGTAGCTCTCAAGATGCTCGGAGGCATCACCCAGTATAGCTCAATGGGTCATTGAGGTACGCACACCGTCGCACCACGTTAAGGTCCAGTCTCGTTGCGACCCGAGGAAGATGTCGGCTAAAACTGGTCCCAGAGGGCTGCCCATAGCGACCCCGTCGACCTGTTTGTATGCGGTCCCCGCACGGCCACAGGGACTCTGCACCCCGTCTCCTCCAGCAACGACCAACTGTCTCCTAGAGCCAGATGGACGAGGTATTGGGTAATAGACAGGTAGGCACCTTGTCAACATACACATCAAGCGCTATCACACGAGGGGTATCAACCAACAGCCAATCACTTTGGACGAAGTATCAAATAAAATAAATCAAATAGTGCATATGTATATGGTGACGTAAATCTCCATTACATGAGCACATGAAATGATTTGGTTGCCAACAAATCCACGGAAGGTTCAATATGTCATATAACACACTTTAAGAAAATGCCACAACGGCGACGTGTGCAAATTAGTAGAAGGTAGTACGGTTAGGCATTAATATGGGGTACAAAACATTAGGACAATGCAGCAAACTCACCACCTGAAATAAAGACTCAGCATGCAAGCACGCGATTAGTAAATCGAATGCAGCGTATCTACCAACGCTGCGCCGGTTGTGCCTGCGTTCTCAGCAGGATTCGTCGTCTTTTCGGCGTTGGTCCCGAGTGGCCTTGCTTATGACTCACTAGACCTGACTCAGGCACTTCCGACCGCATGTGCTACAGCACCATGTGCTCGATGTCGATGGAGTGCAGCCCATCGGTGCCTACCGCTTTCGCATTTGTCGCATGCATGAGGACCTGCACGTCGGCAACTGTCTTTTGGTTTAGTTAGCGCCATGCACGCCGGTCAGCCGCCTTCGATTCCCATGACCTGCAATCAATATTAAAACGTGAGTCTCACCTGTCGTGGTAACGAGGCTTCGGTATTCCCACATGCCGCTTCCCCACACTCAGCTGAACATATAATAGCTACTTCGGTATCCGCGTCGAATCTATTCGCCACATATGATATATATATATATATATATATATATATATATATATATATAATTTTTTGACCGTCTCCCCCATGTTTAATACTATTTTTGATTGGCTTACAGAGTTGCGTTTATTCAGTTATCATTTCTGTTTCATTTCTGCTTGTGCTGTCTAGCCGAATGATTCGTCGCATGGTTGACTCTCTCATGACTAATGAACTGCCGGAAAAGGATGATGTTTGTTCGGCTTTTTTGCTGGATGCATCGGAATCAGATGGAATAGTTCTTCCTGATCGGGTTTATTCTAGTTCGTCTTCCGAATCGGATCGTTCGTCTACATCGCCTCCATCCTCAACATCCCGATCATCTACCTTAACGTCTCCCTCTAAGCTACTTCTTCACACCGTAGATACGGTTGTTTCACCTCACTATTCGGATGGGCTATTGTCTGTTTCCTCCTCTTGCTTCGTCTCTTCAAAGCCCATACAAAAGTGCTTTGTGAAAGAGACCTCTGAGAATGGTCTATGCAAGGGTACTTCTTCATCCTCAAATGAGTTTCGTCATTATCGACATCAATCACCTTCACCTGGGCTCCCGGCGAATTCCAATCTGTTTCCTGCACGTCAGCCATTGGGCGAGTCTTTGCTACAGCAGAATCACCTAGGACGTCCCCAACTAGCTTCTGGCTATTTTAACAACTCGGACTTCATATCTAGAGATGATACACTCGACACAAAGGTAGCTGTGAATGTCCATGCGACAACACCTAAGACTGTTGAACCGCGAGCTTCATCCGATGCGCTAACAAACACTCAGATTGAGGCGGGGACAGCCAGTCAAGCTGATCCATTGGTGATGAGAGTTGAGTGCCTAGTGTTACCGTTCGTTCAAAATTTGTCTGAAGTGGAGCTGCGTTTCCCTACCTCCAAACTGAACAAAGAGCAGCATCGCATCCTGAGAAAGGTGAGTCGACGTTTACTTAGTCGACATGACTACTCTGTTCACCGGAGGTTTTCAGTGGGAAACAATCGATTGAACCTGCACCTTCGTATTTGTTGCTTTCTATTTAAATATCGTCAAATTAGTATAAATTCCGCGGCGTTCTCTGGTGCGTAACAACTTTGTGTTACCAACCTCCATAATAGATTGCAACATTTGAGCTTATCGGACGCTACATTTTACCGTGAGGCCCATTGTAACTTTAAAGACCACATATATTGCGTTCCTGCTATGCGTTATTCGAACACTCATTTTACCGGAATGGTCGAATTAAATATATCAGATTAGTCCAAACAAGAATTTATTTTCTCTCGTGATAACACTAAAATGTACTTAGTTATTACCACTCGTACAGTTTGTCTATCCACTCTTAATATACATGTTTAATCTTCCCTACATTTTTGGCACCGAGGGGGCTGACTTCGTCACACTGCCTGCTGCAGAATCATCTTACGACACGGGCTTTTCGTTGCCATACTCATTTAAGCTGTTTGAGTGTGTGCACTTTTCTCACGGATCATGATGTCGCAATGTGGCAACGACTGCGCCTATCTTGTTTCCCTCCCGGCTACTTCACCGGGCGCTGCAATTTTTCACTTGCTCAACGCACAGATGACTTCTGATTTCAGTCATTGCCTGTCACGATCAAGTTTAGGCACAACACGATATGGCAGTTTTCTTGCCTCTTCGATCTATACCGGTTGATATTATGAGGTAGTCCAGCTCAATTCAATTAAGCCACTGTGATCCGTACACGATTCAAGTCACCAGAACAAAAATGATTACCATTGCTTAGTGTAGTGGTTTCCGCTTTGGGAGTTCAATACGGATCGTACTCAAAGCAATTGCCGGGCGTAGAGCTTTAATAACCACTTCAGTCTAAGAGCGCTCACTTCTGGTGCATCTGATTTCTGGGGCGGGCGCATTTAGAGGAGTAACAACACCGAAAATGGCAGAAGCTTTGTCCTGACAAACATCTGCGCAAAAGTTATTCATAAAAATTAATACGGACATCAGTTTTGACTGGAATGACATCCCCGTCTGTGTGGCGGGTCTAGACTTCGACAGGGAATCCAGCTCCAGCTCCTCGTTTTCCGGTCTTTGTCGGATTATTCGGACCACCATTTACCTGTCACAATACAGACTCCAAACGCCCATGCAGAAACACGCTATGGTATGCGCAAATAGGGTCCGGAAATACGGCGTTCTTTTTAATCCCTATTCTTAACAGGATGATTAAGGAGCACCCGGGTGACTCGACCCAACGCTGTGATTGAGCCCAATAGATGAAAGCAATATCCAGTTGGTCTGCTGTTTGGCGCCATGCGAATTCGCTTCGCAGATATTCAACGTAGCTAGGAGGTTTGCATATCGCTCTCTTTGGCTAACCAGTTATCTTCAGGTTGCGTTTGATCAAACTTCTCCGGGCTGTTAGCCAAGAACCGCCTCCGAAGACCTAACCGTACCAAAATGAGTTTATAATATAATGTACTACAAACAAAATGGAATCCAGAGCGAATTGCGTAAAACTAATCGGAAAGGAGTGTAGGAGCGTCACTGACTGTGCAACCGCGCCATGTCGGACGGTTTCTAACCACAAATGTAGACCATCCGAGTACCACCCCATCCATAAAGGATGAGGTACCTGTATAGTATCTCAAATCGTGCTAAATACAATAATAGCTCCAGTCATCAAAGTCACCACCACTTTTCAGCGAAGATAATGGAAGGTTATCGGGTCTGAAAGTCTTGGATCCTTTCAACACGACAGTCTGATACCGAATCTCTTCCCACGTCGACTCAGGTGCTTCGGCAAACGTCATTGTCGCAGCGGGCCTGCTGAACTGATCTTCAAATGTTTTTCCCAACATTCTAGTCGACGTGACTGAGGATGGATCATCAGTCCATATTTCTCAGCTATTGTTCCGCTAACTGATGGCTTTCTCGAACCCGTGTTCATGACGAGTTGGAACAGCACTCGGTTGTTCCCCAAAACACTGTCTTTCCCCATCTCACGGTTCCTTGCCACCCACCAACGTTCACGGTCATTTCGAAGACTCATTGTCAGTCGTCTTTTCAGAGCGTCATGGACACGCTGAAACTCAATGCCCATCGGAACCTGTTTCCGTGCTTCGATCAAGCTGATCCATGCCTCAGAGATGCATTCACAATCGCGCCCTTTCACGTTGGGTACACAACAGATGTCAAAGCCATTCTCCATGACACATTTGAGACGATCCCAGCCATCGGGTCACCAACTTCCTTTACTGACCATTGGCGGGTCAGTTCTTCATGATGTTGAACTGGAGGCTGCGACTTCAGACTAGAAGTAGCAATTTTGGCAGTTAAGCGTTTTATGAAGCCGAAAGAGTGAGCACCGGACGTACCCGCACTGGAGAATGGTCAAAATCCAGGTATGTACTGCAAATTAACCGACAATCTTGAACTGGTATACGCCATCTATTGCTATTTGGAGTATAGACAATTTGGGTCCAGATTAACGAGGAATTTGGTATGTGCCAAGTGATGCGATGTGAACGTTTGTGCTGAAAACCAGTGACTCTAATATAACCATTGTGGTCGGCAAAGTTCTGAGAATCAGTCGTCATTGTCTGTTTGGTATGTACTGACTTCGAAACGGTCTCCCCGGTGTTATTGACAGTGCAGTAGACGAACTAATTTGGCATTTCTGTCACAGTAACAGTTGCGATATCAGCACTTCTGTTCGTACACAGAAGAGCTTAGAATTGACAATAGAGACGTATTTGATACCCCCTGGCCTGGAGTATATAGGAAACGATGATAAGGCACCTTATATTCAGACGGCGCTTGTTAACCCTAACATAGGTTTTAATTCGAACTGAGCACATGCGCCTGTTCACTAGTACCAAGGTGAATAGATTGCCTGCAGCATGTTTGCTGAAATGAAATGAAATGTGTCAGCTTATACGCCGTAACGGCGCTTCGCTGCCGCGCGACCACCACTAGTCGCGCGTGGGCTGAGTATACCGCGAGGACGCCCACCCCTACGCGGAGTCGAACCGGTGACCTTATAGTTGGAAAGCAAACGTGCCGACCACTCGGCCACCGGCCGAGAACGATACCAACATCGAATATACCTTGGACCATTGACTCAGTATCCCCAGACGCAGAGTGCAGTCATTATCGGAAGATTTAGAGCCAGGGAGTCGGAGAATTGTCACAACGCCGTTATCTTGTGTGCGTTTTTCGGAGACAGCACACATTGGTACCAATATGGTGAAGAGTAGGGGGTATTGCTGCGTTTTAGCCCATCTGACCCAGACTTCAAAGGAATCAGTGTGAAATGTACCTTTGCTTTGGGGAATGATGTGTGTGTGTCGGTGGCAGCAGCTGCGAAGTCAGCGGCAGTCGTTAGCTCAATAAGCGGGGAAGAAAAAAGTTTTATGGAGGGGCAAAACAAGATCATGCTCTTTCAGGCTTAACTCGTGATAATCGCGAATAAGCCATTCTTAGATGCAGCAGTATTGCTAACGAGTTGAGAGTCCAGATGATACTCTCTTGTTGCCCATTCCGAGAGATCGTATTTTCAACTTGCCTTTGATTCAACGCAGAAAGCAATGGGCTACATGTAGTTTGGTTTGAGAGTCTCCGCCCTTAGCCTTTAGCTCAATAGCCTGACCTGCAAAGCAGTGAGGAGCGAGTCATGCTCGGGAATGTGATTGCCGAGATTCAATGGGATTTCCTTGAGGCATGTCACGCGCAGCATTTGACGATTTATAACCGATCGCATATGTTTTTCAACCGGAGTATGTTACGCGCCTGCGACCGGCCAAGCACAGGTGAGAGTTGGCAAGTTTACATCCACTTGACCAGAAGCTAAGATAGGCGGTAGCAAACTACTGAGCACCGTCAGAGACAGTGTATAGCAGTTGTGTTCTACACAAATCGAGGTGCGAGTTTATGACCCGTAAATCTGTTATCTCCCATTGCTAGCTTTCAAAGTAGGAAGGCTGTCAAACTCTGCCTAACCTCCGGAAGGTATTGTGAGACTGACTTGATCTTACTGCTACCCACTAGCCTATCTTAGTAGCTCCGAAGGTACTTGGAAAGTGCCACCCAGCGTAGTCCATTGGATCACGGCGGTATACGGACCTTCGGTTTACGTTTAGTTCCAGTTTCCTTTGCAGTGGCACCTTGGGCTCTATTCACTCAGATTGGTTCGCGCTCAAACAAACGAACTTTCCTGAGCTGTGGTTTAGGAGGAGGAGTGTGACTTGTTTTATAGCCGACTTTTTGGATGGTCACTGTATTCTAGCTACCTTACAGTGTACTTTTGAGTTCGGCACATTGGTTGGAGAGTTCGAACTTTGACATATTTAAGCGCTGAGTCGTGTTACAGAACTGCCAGTTGCCCGCCAGCTTTCTTACTTTTGTCAATGAAGTGCTGGTAACGGTTACCGACTCAACATATATTGTCACCTACGTTAACATGTTTAGACGTTTGGGTAGTGACATTTCTCACGTGCTGCAAACACTAGAAGTGTCTGCGATAACTTTGCACCTGGCGATCTTAATGTTTACGATAGGAGTTACTCTCCTTAATTGTTGCGAGATTTGTCGTCTTCGGACTGTTGGTCCCAAACACCTTCAGATGTTTGACCATAGCTACCTGTGGGTATTATTTGTGTCTGAGTACAACAGCAGGTCCGCAGTGATATGATACATTGGCATGCATAAGGCGGTTAGGTTTCAGGATTGTGACTGAATACGAGTGTTGTAAAGCGCACATGGTACTGGTGTTCACGCAAAGCGTAGCGTTACAGTTTTGTATCTTCGCTGGATGCTTGCTTGCACGAATTTTGAAGGCGGAATGTATTCACCAGCAACAGAAAATGAAGTTTTTACGACTTTGCTGAGTGTAATCAGCCATTCTCTGCTTCCACACTTGCGTCCACGCGACTGACTCCGTACACGACTCGACACGTCTTTAAACCTGTCACGCAACTGTAGTCATTGGCATTTTTGCATTGATCTCTTGCTCAAAGTCTTTAAATTTTATTCGTTTCATGATTCACTTGTGAAGTTTTGATGATTATAACTCGGGGCAGTGAAAGGCGCAAGAAGACTGTGTCCCCAACATTGCCTCTTCTACGCATGAACACCGGCTGTTTGTTACCGCTTGTTAACAAAGCCTTTGTCTTGATCGCACGTCTAATGTTTCTGCCACAAACATATCTGTCCATCCCCTCGTATTCCTTGGTAGGTTTGTCGCGTACTTTCTTCCTTACTAAGTGGCGTCAAATTTTCCTCTCGAACTACTGACATGCTGTTGTTCTCGGAGTAGGCCCTTCGGGTACCACAGTAACTGGTTGTGTATGTGCCTCTCTCATGTCGTTAATGCAACCTATTGCCATAATTTTCAGCTTGCAACTGACAATGAACTTTTCATCATGCACGCACCGAAAGGTCTGGTGGAAGAACCCACCGTTGTGTTGCACAAGCGTGCTAGTTTGGTTCAGCGTCAGCGGATCGAAATGGAACAACGGCACCGTGAGACACTGGCTCGCGCTCGAATTCTGGAACAAGAAGAAGAGGAAAAGAAAAAGTTGGAATCGCGTGAGTTTTTTTCTGTTGAGACGGAACTGGACCTCATTTTACCACTATATCGCTTACCATATCGGAGCTAACTGCGGTCCTCTGCACAGTTCGTAACTGACATGTTATTAGAAGATGAGCCGGGCTATACCACAGTCAGCTGTCAGTCATGCAGGTTTGCGCCTGTCACCCATGGCGAAGTGGCGCTAGTTGCTGGCATCCGGAGGTCATGGGGCGGAACTTTGCAAGGGTCCTCTGCAAGGCGCACCACTAACGAGACCTAGAAGATGGAAACACCGGTGTCTGGTGCTTTTCCAGACTAACCAAAGCCTGCTGCCTGAGAGTGAGCCGTGATGAACTATCTCTGCTCATATTGATCAGACGAACCGTAACTTGACTGTGCAGTTTACGGGTTAGAACTAGTGTGTTATTTGCTTTTTGCGTAAGTGGCGTGTGCTACTGCTTTGTTGTTCGGATTTTATCCAGACTTTGGTAACGCACCGTTAGGTATCTCCTAGGTAGGTCAAAGTGCTGTAGCGCTCTCCGAACCCACATGCTACCTGTCAGCGAGAGGAAAAACTCCCTGGAAAACTCAGTAATTTAACGAAAAACTAACTGAGCCAATGGTGTAAAATGGAAATATCAAGTGGTTTCAGGAACGTTCGCGTCCATACGACGTGCGCACCACCCTTCCCATTGTCTATCGGAACTGATCTACTAATCAGGACAGCTGACCTAGCTGTTCTGCTACGTGTAACTTCCTTGGTAGTTATAAAAATGCCCATTAATTTCATACTACTGGGACTCATTTCGTAGCTAGTTCCGCAACACGCTTTTGCGTCCAAGTGTTGACTTCTTATTTTGGCTGGGGTTCGGATATAGCGGATAACGTATTCAGTTCAACCGGAATCGCGCAGACAGGTAGATCGTAACAACTGGCAACGGACAGTTGTGGCAATGCAATGAGTCTCTCTGCAGGACAATTACAAAAGCTGATACTGCAACAGCAGGCACAAATGGAGGTGCCAATGAAGCTGAGTTTGCAGTCTGCTGAAACAGCTTCGCGGGACACGCACGCAACTTCTGTTGATCTCCCCTGCAATTCCATTACGTACTTCAGTTATGATCCTGATTCCGGAGGCACTTTCGATGCGTAGTTTAGACGCTGGGAGGATATGTTCAGAACAGACTTCAGCCGTCAGGACGACACCTGGTAAATGTGACTGCTGCTCTCTAGACTGGGCATAAATGAACTTTCAAGATTCATTGATCACATACTGCCAAAACAACCGAAAGATGTCAGTTTTGCCGAAGCGGTGTCACAACTGCGGAATTTTCGGTGAGTCGTCATCATTATTCAACATTCGCTATCTGTGTCTGGAAATCGTCAAGCGGGACTGACGAATATGGAGCACTGGCGGACATGGTAAACCGTAAGTGTGAGCGCTTCAAGCTGCCTTCTTTGACAGATGACCAATTCAAGTGTCTCATATTTATCGGTGCCTTCCAGTCCCCGCAGTATGTTGAGATCCGCACAAGACTACTCGCAAAGCTGGATCACGACGGAAACGACGCTGAAATCTCTCACTAACAAGTGCAAACAATTGTTAACTCTGAAACACGACACTGCCTTGGTCGAGCATTCTTCCGCACAACCACGAAATGTCCATGCTGTGACAGGTTTCAAGCAAACCACCACCTATTCTCTATTGGTCATGCGGTGAGTGGCATTTCGCCCAATTCTACCTATTCAAGAAGCACATTTGCTAAAAGTCCCATAAACAGGACGTCAAAGAACTCTGCAAGTAGTCTCGACCAGTGAACACAAAGCCGTCACGTTCCACGAAGTCCAAAAATACCGTTGCAGACTCTGTCAGTCGGTTCCGCGTTCTACAGTTAAGACCCCGTAGACGTTACATTACCGTACTTATCAACAGGATTACTTCCAAGTTACAGTTTGACTCGGCCTCTGATATAACTATCATTTCCATGAGCTCGTGGAACTACATCACGAGGCCGGCGGTTGCCGCTTCTGACAAAGTGACTCATAACGCATCTGGTAGAGTGCTGGATCTGGTTGCAGAAATCATCTGTAAAATCACAACCAGTAGAAAAGATTGAAATATGCTACCTGACGGATCGACCGAACCTAAACCTCCTTGGAATTGATAGGATCGAGAGGTTAGGACTCTTTGATGTCCCCTTAGACCAGATTCGTAACCGTTATACACAATTAATGCGAATTCCTCAGATTTCATCGTCATCCTCCATCGATCGTGTTGCTCTTTCGGACGGAGTGTCCTATTTGGTACTTAAAGCGCGGCGAATGTGCGAAGTTTCACTAATACTGATGCCCCTGTTCTTTTATCTCATATGTTCCTCTTGCGCCACTTACGCTGCTTGCTGTTGACTCTTCTTCCATACTTCACCATATGAATGACGACAGTTACTGCACCATGGAGGTTTTACCATCTGCATCCGCGTCATCGCAATACTGCCTCCAGCCATCAGTAGCCACTCGTCACACCACGATTATCCGTTCCTTTGACTACGGTTACTCTTTTGTTCAAAATTGGTCAACACTCGCTGCATGCTGTTGGATCTCTGAACTCGGAATTATTGACTCACGCGATTACCCAACTCGCTGCGCATTGCTTATCCTTTCGTCTTTGGCTTTCCGGGAAAAGGTAAAAATATAAAGGGAAACCATTATTTTAGCAATTAATCGATTAACTTCGATCGTGATTTGATTTCGAAGATTCCGGAACCTCCCATTCCTTCACGTGCTCACCAGCATACGGAGTTTTGGCAGAGAGGGTACTAATTTTACCAGTTTACCTTCGTTTTCTAGAAGCCGAAGGTCATTGAGCGCCCTATATATTTGGTGTAGGTCTGGCATACTGGCACAGCGTTTTGGCGGCGTTTTCGTTAACACGTTTTTCTTAGTCAAGCTCGTCGGACTTTTGCTTTTTCTTCGGCTGGGTTAGAAATTTTGCGGAGAAATTTTTGGGTGTTTAATTTCTGAATAGCGAGAAAACGAGATCTAACAATCTTCACGCGTCCGACAGTGTCGATAACATCCATCGGCCAGGATTGGTTGTTCATCATCCTTTGTCCCCAGGTGGAATCCTCGCTGTTCATTGGATTCATGTGCCGAGGCGTCTGTGCGCATCCTGTTTTACGACCTCAACTACGGAGTTGTGCTAGACGCTGCTTATTCGTTGTTTGCGCCCATGCTCTAACCGACTGCCGTCCTGGCGTTTCTAGGAAACAGTGGACTACTACGTAACATCCTTACCATCAATGCACGTTAGGTGAGTATGAGAAACACCTCAGCTAATGCACCGCAGCACAAAACAGATGAGCTATTAAAAGGTACAATACAAATATTCAAAAGCAGTAAATATAATGTTGAGTATCATATTATGTATTTGCTACGAGATCCTAATTGGAGGGAGAATCTAGTGGAGAAGGACTGGACAAAGAAACTCACAACACAAACGCCATTGTGGCTGGTTTCTAGCCATATCAACCAGTGTGTCCAACCAAACAGATTCATCGTCCTTCGGATCCCAGCCCGTCATCGAGATGCGCCAACTTCGAAGTGGGTGGTTTTATTCCTCTCGACTAAGTCATTGCTTGGTCTCCCATACTTCTCTTCCATCCAGACCCCGGGCGCGCAAACAGTGCCTGTGGCGGGAACCAGTGTGTTGGCATCTGCAACACATGGCCCATCCATGGTGTCTTGGTGTTGGGCGCTTCACTCGCTCTTCCTACACCAAATACGCGACGCCGAACACATTCATTGTTCACACGGTGTTCCCACCAGACATGAGCTAAGTTGCAACGGCAGCGATGGTCGAACCTACTAATCTCTATGTTTGTCGACCTGATGGGTCAGGTTTCATAACCGGATAGGAGCGTTGAACGAATGGATGCGTTATTAATTCTGCAATTCAGGGCGAGAGTGACGTCGCGTCGGCGCCACGGGTGGCGGAGACTGGCAAAATCACCTCGAAGTTTCGCTATACGATTGGTGACCTCATCTTCGATCCCACGGTCGCTTATATAGCTGCCCAGATGCTTAAATTCTTGGACGACTTCTTGCTGATCACCGCCAAGTGTCAGCACAGTAGCCGGTCCCTTCCAAACTTGAAGTACTTTGAATTTCGATGGAACAGAGCATAGCCCAAAACAATTGAGAGCCACTGCTAATTTGTCCATTGCTGCCTGGCGCTGTCACAGATCAGGGCAATATCGTCGGCATACTCCAAGTCAAAAAGTCGCCTACCAGGAATCAGCTCCACACGTCGTAGGTCGTGTCTAGTGCAGTCAGAGAGGATTGGTGACAACGAGCAACCTTGTCTCATATCGCTGGAGATATTGAAGGTCTGCAACGGTTCGCCATAAACCCTCACTGTGCCCGAACTATGCGCGTATAGCGTTCTGACGGTGTTTACGTATTGATCGGGCAAACTTTTCCTTAAAATTCAGTCCCAAAGCGCACATCGCTCAGTCGAATCGAAGGCACTTTCGATGTCGAGAAACACGACTACGGTGGGTCGCTAATAAATATGGTGATGCTCTAACAACTGACTAGAGTAAATATGTGGTCGATGCAGTTACGATTTCGAGGAAACCCAGATGGTTTCTCGCGAATCTGACTTTCAGGAGTGACAGTCAGTCTATGAAGAACGACAAACGCAAGCAATTTATAGGCAGTTGAGATCAGAATGATTCCACTATGATTTCCGGATACCTAGCGGGAGGCTCTCTAAAATTGGGAATATGACGGAGCGGTGCCAGTCTATTGGGACAGTTTCTTGCTCCCACAGTTTCACTAGCAATTGAGCTACTGCGAATTTGGGCTAGAATGGTTTTAGTTGTGGTTGCCAGGACTATGTATTCGCGAGTAGGTCTTACGGGCTTTTAGCGGTCCAATACATGGGTACTCGGTTCATTTCCATTGACTTTCTCCGGTCAATCCTTTCGCTTCCTTTGAAACAAGCGCTGCACCAGAC